TGCCTGATCATCAGATCAGTATCAGAACACATGAAATCCAGAATCACAGTGTGTCACAAGCCAGTACAATAAATATAAAAAGCTTTTACCTAGAGACTTACATTTATGGAATATGATGAAACAGAAGTTGAACAGAAAGACCTGCACAGCACCTGGCAAGACACAAGACAAGCACCTTAACCCCCCTTACGGACTTGCTTGTTAACGACTAAAGCTGCCCTTAACCCCAGAGCAAAGCTGAATCTGCAGAGCCATCCTGCTGGCACGAGCACAAGCCTTCTAGATTTACACTGTGCCCAGCAGGCTGGGCTCAAAAAGCCAAGGAAAACTTTCATCTGATCTTTCATCTACCCCTGAACTTCAGGAGCACATGACAGCTACAGGTGTACACAGCACTGGTAAAGGACAAGGAGGCAGGGCAGATTCCAGGGCTGTCAGGGTGGGATTCTGCTCTCCCCTGACCGGTCACAGAGGGGAGGAAGGGAAGAAAAATTCAAGGATTTATCTCTTCATAGCCAGATCCATGAACACCCCTGTTCTCTCCAACCCAAACATGAAGCAGCAGTGGAGTATCAAGTCACCAAGCAGTGCTGCATCCCATGTGCCATGGGAAAAGCATCCCCTGGGTCACAGGCTGGTCACCCTCTAAAGAGCCAGGCTATTCATGGACTAAAAGGTTTCACCACTGAGCAAAATGGTGATTTTTATAACCAATTTACTTATTACAAAAGAAACATTTAAAATTATTAGCAGATATTAAAAGAAACACCGAAAACGGTGAAAGCAGCACATCAGCGAGAGACCTTTGATAAGCTTTATCAGGAACAGGCACTGCTGGCCACAGGTGAACTGGTGGGTTTTCCTGCACTAAGTGCTGTGAAAGCCATCCTTCCCTGGCTCAGTCAGGTGACAGAGAGCACAAGAATCCCTTAACATTTTCTCCACTATGAAATAAGGGACAAATTGAGACAGAAAAGCATGGTTGTATTGTCAAGAGCTTCTAACAGGAATACAGCAATAAAGCTATTCCTTGAGGCAAACTTAACAAGGAGATGTCTGGCTGCAGAAAATTTGGGAATTATTTTGGGTATCAGTGCACACAGAGAGGCCCCAAATGAAATCATGGTTCTGCTCGGCTGTGCCCTATAAACACAGAGAAAGCATTCTTGCCCCAACATGCTTACGTATTTTGAGCACTCAAAAAACAAGATGCCGGTGACCCTGGTATTTCTGGAAGAGTTGCTGGCTGGTAAATAGCAATACTGTGACCTCCCAAGTAACAAGAAAGAGAAATGCAAACAACCAAGAAGAACAGAGCAAAACAAAAATATTTCCATAAGCAGAACTTTTTATATCTCAAGAGATCGCTGCCTCCAGAGCTCAAAAGGGACACATTAACCTGTGTTATGTGACTCTCGGTGTCTCATAGTCCTCAATAAATTTATTTGCTAGGAAGCTCTGCAAGAAAACAGAAAAACTGAATTGTCTCAAGTCCTACAGGAAAATTATTATGGAAGATAGAATTGAGCTGATGGCTGGGGTTTATCTGCAGACCTCAAAAATTCATTGCAACACTGCTCTCCTGCCTTTTGCACCAAGGGCATCAGGTACTGTGGAAACAGGGGGTCTAAGAAATCTTAAAACATAGAGCAGTAAGATATAGGCAAAATATTGCAAAGCATCACTAGCAAATTCTCCTTGTTGGTTTCTTTTAGACACCATCTATTTAGTTCCAAAGTCAGAAACAGGAGGGAACACACCAGGGCCCCACTGCTTGCATTAAGGAACCAAGGAAGCAAAGGAAGAAGAAAAGATATTCCCATCCTAAGATTCCACCGAATCATAAAACAGAAAGAAATTTAATTTTGCCTCATCTCCAAAAAAACAAGAAGAGCAGCACTAGGACAGCTTGGGGTACATGAGCCTGAGTATTTCAAATGGAATGGGGAACAAGGTTTTGAAGCAGTTTGCCCAAGTGACTCCTCCACACCCTGCTTCCGTGCATGCTGGAGAGCTGCACCTGGATTCCTTCAGGGCGAACCGAGCCAAAGGACTGGCTCCAGGAGCACGCCTGACGTGCTCCAGCCACAGAGGTGCTTTTGTTCCAAGACCTCCTCCAGGAGCAGTGTTAGGTAGAAGTCCTGAAGTGTGTGGAACATGGACATTGTGTGCTCAGCACCTCCTACTTTGCTCTTTGAAGAGTTTACTTGCTGCTGTTGATTCAGCCTCAAAGATAGCTAAGATTGCTGCAGCTCAGACAATTAAGAGATAATATACCAGACATAGAGCATAAAAAATAGGATATAATTAAGATACCAAAGGTTGAAAGAAAGCTGAGAATTGAAATCCTGGTAGGGAAACAAAGCTTATGCCTGTTATCTGTACAGCACTTTTAGACTTGAAGAGAGTACGGGGTATGACATAATTAAACAACCACTACAAACTTCCTCTTCTCTATCGCTCCTATCAACAGATTCTCAGGGAAAATAATACAGCAAAGCTTCCTAACATCACCTTCATTCACAGAACTGAGCAGGTGCTTGGCAGAGATCAATTAACTAAGAGGTGAAATCTCAGTTTCCCTTATTAAATCTCGAAGTTGCTCCCTAACAAAACCCTCCCCTGCAGCAGATCCTACACACCAGCCCGAGGCACTGCTGTTTGATGGCTTTTATCATTGGCTTTGATGTATTTTTTCCCCTGATGGCATTTACCTATCAGCTGAGTAATCTGGCTGCAGAACAAAGTTCTGAGGAAACAGGAAAAAATGGACAGCTCTGAAGCACCCACTACCATGTCCCCTGAGGTCTGTGCATGGGAGGGAACAGAATAAATGTGTTACAAACCTGTGGCTAAGGGCAGTCATGGCAAAGGTCTGCTTGGCTTAGAAGTACACACAGCCTCTGATTTCTATAACTGCATAAGACATTGGTAAGAAATGGCAGCTGATTACAAAAAAATACAGAAGGGAAATGGGGAAAAAGCAAAGCCCAACCCATATTCCTCGTTAAAGTAATTCTTACCACATGCTCCAGCTGCTTTCATAGCTACGTTTCAGGGTAAGAAGAGACCATTAAACGTCAGTTCACAAAGCAAATTTCATCTTATCTAGACTGCATATCTGTTTGTCCATCTGTAGAACCCTGGCTGAAGCAGGAGCTGTGGAAAGCATTCAGAGCTGCAAAATCCAAACCTCTGTACTGAAGAGGCACAGCAGCCTGTGCCCTCTCATGATAAATGCAACCAAGGACAGAACAGAAGTCTGAGAAAGACCATGAAAAACCCACTTCTGGCATGTGGTATAATTGCTCTACACAGTGCTCTTGTGATCTCCTAGAAAATATAAACAAATAAATAAGAATATTTAGGACCAGTTCCATCAGTCTCCACAACTAAATTCATGTCAGTTTGGGACTAATATTGAGAACAGTGATAAATGCAGCAAAAATACTGAATTTTATTTGTTGCTACAACACGGCCTTCACACTGCATTTGGCTGTAAAGGTACATGGAAGAGGGAAATATCACAGGGATGTTTCTCTACAACCTGTTCAATTTATTTCCATTAAAACAGCAAAATTCATCTTAGAGTAACAACGAGGTTAGGTCTGATGCTGTTTTCTTGAAAGCAACTCCCACTGAAATACATCAGTGTCAACACTTTTCAAAGAAATTAACTAATTTGTATTTTTAGAAGCTAACCAGAAAGCCAAAGCCCAGGGACACACATCTGCTCCAGCCCCGAGGCTCCCAGGCACCAATGTCACTGCCGATGTCGTTGCTTGCCGTAAGCCTCCCGCTGCAGCCCCGCTGCCGAATGCAGACGGACAGCTCGCTCACCAAAAATAAGTTTTTGTGTCACATCAAAACAAGCACCAGGGGCAAGTGGCTGCCACTGCCACCACTGCTCTGCAGTGCTCTCCCCATGTCCGTACTCACTGACCTTTCTACCACCATCCTGGCCTCCTTTTGTGTTTGTTGCCACAAATATCTCCTTCCTCCATCACAGTTTATGACTCCTTTGGTTTCTTCCACTCAGTTCTCCAATTTACTTCATCAAAATGGTACTTTTATAAGCAGAAGGAATAATTTCACAGACCATAATAGGGTTTGTTATATATTCCACTCCCATTTTGATCCATCTGTTCCCCAGCTTGGACTACGAGCACTGCAGACAACAATCTCTCTGTGAGACAAAGGCACGGCACTGAAGAGACACAGCTTTGACAAAAGAGACAATTAAATCCTCAGCTCGCACAATCGTCCTGCACGTGCCTCTAAGTGCTGCTAGAAAGCAGTCAAGAGTTTCACTTCAAAATGAACACCGTAAAAAAATGAAAATCAGACTCTTAACCAAGGAGAACCAAAGCATCCTTCATTTTCTTCTCCAAAAGGCAAATTTGCCATTTCATCCCCAGATCCTTTGAGCTGCAGAAATGAGAGCATCTGCCAGCTCACTGAGCCACCTGAGTAACTTTTTCCAGTCTAACTCCAAACTGCAACAACTTGCCATATCAAACTGCCAAATCTACAGTGCTCATTTCTTTCTGTGAATCCAGCTGTCATTTTTCCCAAATGCCTTCGCAGTCCCAACTCTCCCAATGCCAAAAAAACCTTTTCACAGATATACATAATTTTGCAAAACACATATGCTCTCTGTATGGCACATGAAGTCAATTAACAAGTTTACTTACTGAATTAAAGGATGACACACAACAGTAAAACAAAAACCTCTCACAGACAGCAAACACATGAACCTTCTCCTCCCTACAAGGCAACACTCTGAGAAGGAGCGCTGAGTTTTAAAGCCCATTTTGAGTACCACAGATGATCTTTCACGTTTATCTCTGTGGCATCTTTTATCCTGTAATTCCCCTGGGTGTTTGTGATCATCAGCACACCGAGTTAAAAGTAAAAGACGGTCAGCACAGACAAGGGAGGCACTGGGGCAAATCTGTTCCCTCACAAAAGAAAAAGAAGCCCAAAATAAAAGCACGTACCTTTTAACTGGTCGGCTACCACGCTCTGACCGACGCGCTCAATCACCTTTCCATCCTCCATTTCATAACGATCATCCAAATATTTGGCAGTAGCTTCCGAAATATGGACCTTCCCAGCCACCCCGAGCTGCTCCATCAGATTGGCCAAATTGACATCATTGGACCACACATCAAACTTGAACCTTCTCATTCCCAAAATGCCACACAGGACTGTCCCGGTGTGAACACCAACTCTCATGTTCACCATTTCTTTCTTTTCCTGGCAGAACTGCTCGATGGCTTTGATCATCCCCAAGCCCATCTCGATGCAGCAGTAGGCATGATCTGCCCGGGGCTCAGGGCAGCCAGCCACGCAGTAGTAACAGTCTCCCAAAGTGCTGATCTTCTCACATTTAGTGTCCTCACACAGACGGTCAAAGCGTCCAAAGAGGTCGTTCAGGAGTCCCACCAGGGCGTGGGCTGATTTGTTGGCACTCATTTTCGTGAAGCCAACAATATCTGCAAACAAAATGCTCACTTGCTCTATCTGCTGCATTTTAAAAGGACGGAATATTATGGGGGTTTTCTGTATGGAAGGCTTCTTCTTCCTGTTTTTGGGGCTCGAGGTGGAATGACGTTTGATGGAGTTTTCACTTTCATCATCCCCTTGCTTCATTAAGTCATCAGCTATTATTCTTGGCATAACAGAATGAATCATCCTCTCTTTCAGGGCTTTTTCCACTTCCAGGTCTTTTCCGTGCATGATGGATTGCCCCACTTTCAGGAATGTGCTTCTTGATCTGACTTCGGACATGATAAATAAATGAATACCAATGGCATGGATGCAGATGTGCAGGAAGGCTTTACTCAACAGCTCCCAGTAAACCGCACCAGCTCCCAGAGGTGTGAAACAGTTCTCATCACGGAAGTGATAACCAAAGGTCTCAAAGAGGACCGAGTACGACAGCCCCAGAAACAAGCTTAAATACAGGGGTAAGTGCATCACTGTGTAAAGCAACAAGAGCACTTCAATACACATAGAAAAACTGCCCACTTGAGAAAGACAAGTGTCTGTGGGATCTGCCGGGGGAGTCCGGTTGGACATGTCACCACTTCCTGAGACAGGCTTCAGAGCCTGGAACTGCGGAGCGAGGGTCAGAGCAAACACCAGGAGGGTGAGGATCAGCGAAGTCCATACATAATGGCGGGCATAAGTCTTAGTGAAAGTGAACACAAAAAAAGCTACACATACCAGGAGGAAGCACAGAGCCGGCACCATGAAAACAATTTGTTTCTCTCTCATGTGTATGCCGAAGTAGATGCCCCAGAGCAGACAGGCCACGCCGATGTAGAAGAGGGCATAGCGAAACCTGCGCTGGGTCTGCGGGAAGCATCTCTCCATGCAAGCCTCCTCCAGGTTGTTGGAGTCGAACTTGGGGTTCCACCACTTGGAAGAGGCCCTCTCGAAGAGCTGCGGCAGCTTCTTCTGCCGGCGGAGGCCGGAGCCACTACCGCCCGCTCCGCCGGCTCGGCGGGTGCCCCCCGACTCTCCCGAACTGCAGCTGGAGGAGATGCTGTACTTGCAGTGCTTGGAAGAGGTGCAGCCCTGGTGCTGCTTGGGGTTGATTTTCACCGTCACGCTGTTGCTGTCCCCGCTGGAGTCGCAGCTCACCTCGGTGCTGTGGTGATGCAGCAGCTGCTGGTGCGGTGGGGAAGCCATGTTGTCAATTCCTCCTCAAGAGCCCGCGCCGGACTTGGGTCTCTGGGGTTGCTGAAGCTACCGGGCTCCTCGCAGAGTCGCCTCTAGTCTCCTCCGGTCCCCGCCGCGTAGGGGCGGCCGGGCAGCGCCGCGGCGATCGGCCGCTCGCCGGGCTCCGCACACAGCGCGCCGGGGCAGCCCCGCATAGTCCCGTCGCCTGGGCCGAGCCGGGCCGGGGCTGCCGCCGCCCGCCGCTGGCCCCGCTCCCCCGCAGCCCTCCCGAGGCGCGGGGCGGGCGGGCCGCTGGCTCAGCCCCGCGGGGGGGACGCCGGGCCCCCGCCGGGAGGGGACCGCTCCTCCATGTCTGCTGCAGCTGCCCGCCGCTTCCTCCCCGCACGGCCGCCGACGAGGGGCCGCCTCCCGCCCTCAGCCGCCCGCCCAGCCGGGACGGCAGCAGCAGCAGTAGCCGCTTCCCTCTGCTCCGCCCGCCCGCCCGTCTGAGGGGAGGAAGGGGAGCGCGGGGACGCGCTCAAGCGGCCTCCACCATCTTCCTCACTGCGCGGGGGGGGGTTTGGGGGGGCTGCGGGAGCGCGCCCCCGCTGGCCAATTGGGCGCGGCGGCGCGGCGGGAGCGCGCCCCCCCCTCCACACAAACACACACTTCCCGCCTCAGTGCGAGGGGCGCGGGTAGGAGTGGGGACGGTCCCCTCAGAGAATGGTGGGCGTGATGTTGGTGGCGCTCTCCGTGAGGCAGGGACGGGACAGCGAGGGGTGGTGGGAGCGGGCGTCCCCTTAGCGGGGACAGTCCGCGGGGCCGGGCGCCGGGGTTCCCGGGCTGCCCCCGCCACCGCCCTCCCCACTGGCTGACATTTGCCATGCGCAGACAATACGCGCTTTACCAAACAATTCAGCCCGAGCCCCGCTGCAAGCTCGCTGCGTTATTTTTCTCCTCGTTCTCCGCTTGTTTATGGCTGACGCTATCTCGCCTGCACCGCTCCCTCGGTTTCATTATCTCTTGTCGCAGATGGACCGTGGCTTTCCTTCTTCACAGGGCTTCTCTCTGCTGGTGCTACAGCTCCCTCTCCTCTTCCCAGCTCTGCATCCTTCACCCTTGCTCACAGGTGATGTTCCCAAATTTGTCCCACCTCATCCGTCTCAGCCCATCAGCTCCAGCCCCAGTTCTTCCTGCTGTGGCTTCTCCTTCCCTGAATCCCATTTACTTTTTTCCAGGTGAGCCTTTTCCAGCGAAGCACTTCACTCCAGCTGTCCTTCCTCCTGCAGTCTCTTCTCCTCTAAAGACCTCACCATCCCGTAAAATAAAGCCAATGGCGCTAATGTAATAATGCTGATATTGTGGCCAGCGGGACCAGGGCAGTGACCATCCCCTGTGCTGGGGCACCTCCAATCCCAGGGTAAGTTTTTGGCCCTTCAAGACAAGACAGACATTGAGGGGCTGGAGGATGTCCTGGGAAGGGGCTGGAGCAGCAGGAGTAGCTGAGGGAGCTGGGAAAGGGGCTCAGCCTGGAGAAAAGGAGGCTCAGGGGGCCCTTCTGGCTCTGCACAACTCCCTGACAGGAGCGGGCAGCCAGGGGGGTCAGGATCTGCTGCCAGGGAACAGGGACAGGATGAGAGGAAACGGCCTCAAGTTGTGCCAAGACATATTCAGATCAGATATTGGGAATTTTTTTTCACTGGAAAGGTGATCAGATGCCGGCACAAGGTGCCCAAGGCAGTGGTGGAGTCACCATCCCTGGAAGTCCTCAAAAAACGAGTGGACATGCTTCACAACATGGTTTAGTGGGCACAAATTGGACCCACCACTGGGTCAAAGGTTGGACTCAACGGCCTTGGAGATCTTTTCCATCCATAAAACTCTTTTCATAAAACTCCCTATACTCTTTTTCAAAAATAGTAATAGAAAATCCACAACCACACAGTTACTGAAATTGAAACTTGCCCTATTTTCCATTTCCTTTGTAAAGATGTCTTGTAACCATGTTGTAACTCATGTTTCTAGTATTATTATTTAGAAGAAATTTGTGTTTCCTGACATACTCAAATATCAAAATAATTTCTAAAAAATTCCAATCAATAGCAATAATTGTTCTGGTTTTGCTGTGACATGGTTGTCTCTTGAATTCCATAATGGCTCAGCTGATCAATATTTTATAGTGAGTGCTGCTTACCATGCAGCTCTTACATAAACACTGTTGGGAAGAGAGAAATCCCTGAGCTGACAGAGCAGAAAGGCAGGATGCCCTCCTGGGCTTGGCTATTAATTGATAAATTTGCTAAAACTTCTTTCCAACCTTTTTATTTATTCATCTAAATATATTTTAAGTTACATTTTTACTTCATACAGGATGCTGAATTTATTTATTCTGCAGGATTAAAGAAGTGCAACAGCTTCCAGGGATTTAAATGCATGGTGAGAAAAGGAGAAAAGTTTTTTACCTCATTGGCAGAGAATTTAAGGTAAAACTACCTGTGTTTTTAGTTTTTTTAATATAAACCTGTAAGATTTATGTTGGCTGATTTGAACTTAGAGATTTAAGAGGTACTGAAATTCCAGCATAGATTTTTTGTCTTGTTCCCCTGTGCTCCATGAAGTGGGACTTTGTATGTTCTTAGGGTAAACAGAATCACATCAAAGATACTGGCTACATCACAAGTTTTCACTGAATGACCCACATGATACCAAATTTTGTCTGGCTACTGGTCAGAGACAGCTTTTGATCTCCTCTAATAAAATAGTTCCTCTTTCCCAGCTTTTGTTTACGGGTTTGAAGCGGGGAGATGGGATGGAAGGAGACATCTGACGTATCAGACCCTGCTTTGGTAAGCTTCAGATGGGGGTTTCAAGGTTGTGCAGAATCCTGCCTCCCCCAAGGAGCTCCCATTAGACTTTTAACCTGTAGACTCCTGTCCTGCTCCTCCACTTGATCTTTTGGGTGGAACAGTCACCCAACACTCACTGGCTCAGCCGTTCCCCACCTTCCCGTCATTACCAAGTTCCATGGGAGCACCCTGCATATGCAGTCAAGGAACAGTTCACTTTCATTAGCTCTGTTCTGGCTGGGACAGACCTTCTGCTGTCTCCTGAAACACTGAATTTTTAATTTCACTTTGCTTTTATTGTGCAAATTTTTCACTGTTGAATTCAAGTAGCAGATTAAATACCAGAAGCAGAAAACCACAAATGCCAGTGATGCTTGGATTCATTTTAAGTGTGACTGAGATTTGTTTTAGAGAACAAGAAGTGGTATGAGATTGTATTTGCTATTTCCTCACCACCACCACTTTCTGATTTGTTTTTATCCAGGATGGGTGTAACAGCCAGCGTGTCCCTCTAAGGCAGCACCTGAGAGGGTCATGTGTGTGACATCCTTTAAGGAAGATGCTTCCTCTGGATCACTTTCTTAGCAACCACAATGAGCCATCCTGGTAGAGATGGGAGCCTCCATGCAGTCTGGATCTTGAGTCCTGTGTTCATTCTGGGCTTGGTTGTGCTGGTTCCCTGCGGAGAACTCTGACCACCCTTCCAAAATACTCCGTGACTGGTTTCCTTTCTCAGAGACTGAGTTTGAGGATATATTTCACAGAGCAATAGCTATGCAAATGCAAATCCTCCTTGTAGAGTTCTTTTAACTTCAAGCCACTAAATATACACATTTGGTCTGTGGAACTGAATTTACTTCCCCTCTCAGAGGAACAAGCTTTGTCAGCTGTAATGATGAGCTGTTGTTTGACATTCATAATATTGTACTTCACTGCTTATCTGATGGAGCCATGCAAAGCTATTTGGGGGGTTCTGAAATGTGACAGCCCACATGATGCTTTTTTAGACTTCACAAACCGCCTTCACGAGGCAGGAGAATGTGACATGGGAACGGCTGGCTGGAACAACGGCGTGCCTTAATGCCAGCGGGCTTGCTGTAGCTGGGGAGGAGGAATGCTCTTTGGAAGTTTGCAGCTTTTGTTGTGTGCTGTCAAAGGAAGAACTTAGAGCCTGAAAGAACATCTTGGATGCCATAGGTGGGGACTGTGGGGATTATTGATCCTGTCTGGAAACAGCATAAAGATGGAGGCAAATATGTTAAACCTGTTTGGATCATCCACAGACAGAAGGGGACTCAAGGGAGACAGCTCAGATACCCCATTTCATGCTGTCTTGCCATAATGAACAAAAATATCTCCATTTCTGACAAACTTCTGTATCTTCATCCTTGCTGACATGCGGAGTATTCATTGCACGCTTAGTTTTGAATCCTGGAAGCCTCCAGGTGAAAGAACTCATCTAGGAAAACCAAAACTCAACAAATCTTCTGGCTTCTCTTCACAGACTAACAGGTAAATATTGTGAAAGACTGTTACTCCTCCATGGTTTCAAAAATTATGAAGTATCACAATGTTTATTTCATTTTTCCATAGCAGAAGAGCACAAGGGTTACCTGTGACATCTGTTCCATATGAACCCTTGGAGGCTGACTAAATGGGTGGTGCATTCTCACTTCCCTGCAGTGGCCAGGTTGGTTTTGTGCTCTGTGTTTTCATCCTTCTGAAATTGCTATTCAGTTTATTCATATCACTGAGAGGATATCATATCCCAGATGAGATACACAGATAAAATAAGCAGGTAAGCAGTATAAGATCTTTTTATGTGACTCAAGAGAGAGGATAAATCCCAGTCCAGATGACTGGGAATCTCTGACTCCCCTGGGACCAGGATTTTACTTGCAAACTTTGTGGTTGTCTCATTGGAGTGGTCTTTTTGCCAAAAGCAATGCAGAATAATCCATTTATCTGACAAAATGTCTGCCACCGAGAGGTGGCTTCACTCAAACATACGTTTCTTTAAGATGAAGACAAACTTAAATTTATTGCTTATTCCATTCATAACCAGAAGTTCTCCTGCCTTGCCAAACTGCTGAATCAGCTTGGGTACCTCACCCTTGAGTCAGCACAGCCCAAAATAGAAACTTGCTCCATTTCTGAAGAGAGGAAGTACCACGGTTGTCTGCAAATACAGCCACATCTGACATGCTTTTATAGCTACAAACACTCAGTTGCAGGGACTTGCATGGTTCTCTGCTGCTTAAGATAAACAAATAAAATAAAGGAAGTAAAAGGGCACTTTCTGATTCAAAATAGGAGTGTGAGGGTTGCCATGAGTGGGACTGTGTGGATGTGGAAGTCCCAAGGAATAAAGAGCAAGAGAAGGACTTTACAAGTGGCAGTCATTGATGTCACCTAGCCTAGCCCAGCATCAAGCTCCCACTCCACCTTCTTGCGGTTTCTCAGGACATACAGACTGGGGAGACAAGGGACAGGCTATAACCAAACTGAAGCTAAGTCTTAAGCTTTTAGGAAATAATGGCAAGAAAACATGGTAGAAGCTCTAGAACAATGGCTGGAGATCTGCTACCAGTATTCCCAAGGTAGAGCTGAGTCAGTCCTGTTGCCATGAGGTAACTCCACTTTATAGCACAGCACAAAACAGCAAAAACCTGGGGAAATGACCAAGAGTGGCAGTCAAAATAGTGGGAAGTGACACTAAAGTCATCAGCAGGACTTCATGAGTAGTGGAAGGCAGTGAAAAGGCACATAAAAATAGTGCTATGTGATACAAATGAGTGAGGATTTTCTGTGCCTCCAAGTAAGGGCACGAAATAGAAGAATGAGGATAATGTGAATTCGCTCGATCTGCCCTTCTCTGCAGTTTTTTCTCTTGCAAATGAGCATCTGTGGTTTTTGGCACCCTACAAAAGGACCCCTATTGTCAAGTAGCACTGGGGTGGCCCCTTCCCATGGGTGCTCCTGGTTTTCCTTTCCTGCATGCTGCAGGATGGTGTCATGTTCTTCCTGGTCCAAGCAAACTACTGTTTCTGGTGCTTCCATTAAACGTGTCTGAACTGGCTCTATTTTCCACAAGGAAAAGCCATTCCAACAGGCAGACAAAAATCAGTAACCGCTTTCACACCATGGGCAAATGAGATGTGATCCTTGGCACAGGATTTTCCTGCAGTAATATGGAGGAAACTGTAGATATTTGAAAAAAATGGTAATTTCTGCAATGGGTGTGAAGGTTGCAACACACAATTTTACCTTTTTCAGATTTTTGCAACGATGCAGTTGCAAATTGAAACATGTTTTATATTTAGTGTTTTGGATTATTCAGTTGAAAAGAGGTGGGGGTGAGGATTTACAAGTGTAATTACAGGATTATGCAGTCACCTCATGCACACACTGCAGGTTTGGGAGGGAGACCTGCTGCAAATCCACAGAAAACTCCAGCTAAGGAATTGCATGTGCCACAATTAATTACACAACGTACAACTTTGTGAAACATTTGCTATGTGTGCACCAGACCCTTTTTAAATTTAGATTTCTGGGAAGAAGAGAAGTGCTGGGGCATTTTTGTGACTTGATCCCTCGTCTTGGTTGATCCGCGGTGGAAAGGTGACCCCGAGCACGGCTGAGCTGGGAATGGATCTGGTGAGAGCCATCGCTGTCAGAGCCAAGCAGTGTTCCAACCTGCATCACTTAATAGATTCACTTGCTCTTTCCCTGGCTCTATTTTAGCCACAAATTTGTTATTCTGCCCTGTGGGTGCCAATATTTTTTAAAAAATAACCAAATGCACTAATATTGGATTTCTGGTGTGTTTTTTTTCCCTGAAAGGGTTGAAGTGAACATTCTTCTCACATATACTTAGGACTTCACCTATGTGGCTGCAACTCTGGTGACATCCAGAAAGACACATGACCCTCACTCCTTCAGTGGAGCAGATGTATCTCAGCAATTCAGCAATGATGTGACAATGTATGAAGTGGAAGGCATTGAGAAACTATTACATCCATTTTTAATTTGTATTTAAGACAATTTCTACACACTTTTGTGTTCTCAAGCTTGGAAAAAGTTCACTTCTGTCTACAAACACAGGAACCAGTTGTTACTTCAATTTATTGTTGTGGTGGTAGGATTGAGACTTGGATGAAACAAGAAAAATTCATGTAGGGCAATGTATAGAATCAAACAATCATGGAATGTTTTGGGTCAGAAAGGACTTTAAAGATCATCTCATTCCAAGCCCCTTCTGTGGCAGAGATACATTCCACTAGACCAGGTTGAATGTGAAAGCAAACACCTTCCAAAAACTCATGTTTCAAACTGAGCATGAATGCATGTTTGTGCCATGTGCCTTGTTCTGTTTCCAGAGGAAACAAAATGAAAAGAAAATGTTGCTGAGAACACTAAAACATAACACTTTGGCAGAGGTGGTTATCACATCCTCCAGGGATTTTTACTTGTGGTGCTGCACTGACAGTTGCAGTGTATTGTGGAAATAAAGTGTGAAGTCACTCAGGACTGAGTCCTGCTGGTTGTGGATGAGGCAAGTACATAAATACCTTTTGACAGAGGTGAGAGGGAATGCTTGCTTCCACAAGGGAAGGGGAATAGTGGTACTGAGAACTGAAAACACAGCAAATGTTTCTTTTAAAAGGGGGAATTGGAGAGCAGGACAAGGCAGCACATAGAACACAGTGAAAGGTCACTGAGGGAGAAATGCTACAATCCAGCATTTATTGGCTAAATATTACCAAGATTTAAGAATGGGTCCCTAATCCTTTTATAAACCAGGAATCTCCTTGAGTTGGGTGAATGGCAGAACCATGTCACTGTCAGTAAGCAAAAATCACAGCCCCGTGCTTTGTGGCACATGTTAAACTCTCAGTGGAACAGGCAGGGAAAACCCCATGACAGGCTTTCCAGCAATTTCCTACCAAAGGTTTCCTCTAGACTGCAGCTTCCAGAAGCTCTGATTATTTGTACCTGTGAGAACTGCTCAGAGGTTGTTTTGGTAGATTTAGAGAGATGAATTATTCACCAGAGGGAGCTTGGTACAGACCATGCTACTATGTGTGATCTCATGCCTAAAACTGTCCCACATCTTGTCCATTTATTTGGGAAAGTAATTTCCGGAACACTTGGAAAACAAAACCGGGAGTTGAAATTGCCTCTCAATATTTCTTCAGTCCAAACGAAAAACCAAACAAATAAGCCCATTGTGTGTCTTACATGTTCAGTCAAAACATCTCAGTTATTAATGTTAAATTCCTGGGTACCTGAAGAACCTGTTCCTGAATAAACTACAAAGCTGAAGCCTGACTGAAAATATTAAAGTAAGGTATCACACCATCTTCAGCTGAAGGATTTTTCCATACTTCTGCAGTGATTTTGGGAGGCAGAGACATATGGCCAGAGAAAGAGAAAAGGCTCCACCAGGGAAGTGGGGGCTGAGAAGCAAATTGATAGTGCTAAGTGGCTTTTTCCTCTCTGCTCGTTTATCCTCTTTTACCATCCTTGTTTCCATTCCTTCCTCAGCTACATCTCTGTTGAAGAGCAGGTAAAATATTCTATTCCCCTTTCACAGTTGTAACACATATTCATTGTCTCATTCTATTATAACTCAAATAACTTTAGCCATGTTTGGACCATTTAAGCTCTTAATGAAGAATTTGCCCTTCATCTGAATCTCTTGATTCCTTTTTTCATTGCATTCAGTTCACAGTCTCCCATGGACTGCTTTAGAGACACTTGGAGTGGAGGTGTATGGATTCTTACCTGATTTTTCCTCTTGCCCTGTCTCACCGCTCCAGCTGCCCTGCTCAGACCAGGAGGCACCAAGTCCATCACTTTGCCACAGCCTCAAACTCCTTCTTCTAAACCAGAAATGTGGGCAGGGCTTCTGGAGAGATTATCAACTTCCTAACCTCAGCCTGAGTGCAAACCAGCCCACAGCCCACGTCTGTCCCTACATGAGCAGTTGTGCTTCTCTAACCACGGAAACTTCAGCAACACAGAGTCGCTGCCTGCATTTTCCCCCAAAAAGGCAACACACAGCAGTGGCAGCTTAGTGGGAGGATGTTTCTTTCTCCAGCAGAACAGAGCTTCAGGTGTCCACTGCCTGGAGCCCACCATCTCTACACTGCTCAGTGTCCTAGGAGAGGATGTAGATATAGAATTTTTGGGCTGGGGTCTTATTTAAATTACATATTAGGCTGAAAAATGAACACACAGGATTGAAGGATGCTCCCAGTGCCTGTGTGGCTGCAGCAGCTTGGGGCCAACAGCAGAGATGGTCTGGGCTGCTCCATCCTCCTCCTGCATCTCAAGGCAAAGACTTTGGCAAACACCATGGACTGAAAGAAGTCCCTTTTATAGGCCTCAAATCTTACAGAAAATAAAGAAAGTCAGGGATGAAGAAACCTCTTAGTCTGGAAATGTATTCAGTGTTTCTGCAGAATAGAGAGAGCACAAAGCTTCACTTACCAAAAGCAGCCAAATCTACTGGACTGTGGAGTTAGAAGACTTTTATGTCTAGCAAGTAGTAACTGTCTTTAATTAGCTTTGTTTACATGATAGATGTCAATGTCAAGCTCTCAGTGAAAAGGGCAGAATGTCCTTAGTGGGAAATATGAATTTTGAAGCCTGACAACATAAAACCAGCGGGAAGGTCTGTGCTCAGACTGCTGGGGAGAAAAATCACCTTTGGCTCAACAAAACAGGAAGGATTTCAAGCCCATAGCAGAAGTTTTTCAAGAAACTAATGAAAATGGAGGATTATAGTTTAAACTGTTTTGCAATCGCTGGCCTCAATCCTGCAGTCACTTTTCACACACACTCAACTTTATATCTGTGGTTGGTTTTGCTGTCCCTCATGGGATTATTGACACCTGGAGATAGATGTGAAGGCCAGACTGTTTACAAAGCAGAATTTAAACGATAGCATTTTAATCAAAAAAAGACATTGTATCAAGGTCTGCATAATCGGCTCATTGGGATCCTTTATGTTTGAAAAAAAAAACTGAGAAATTCAGGAATTAAGATTCATGAGGTGGTCTCAGATCTGCTCCCTTGTGTGAATAGGACCTTTTGTTATGCTGGATCACAGCACTGGGCCACAAAACTTATTCAGCAAATATTAAAAAACCCCGCCTTGGTAAAATTTGAATTTATGGCTCACATGCAAATACTGTCTGCATTTCTTCCCTCTCTAAAAAAAGTGTGTTTGGCCACTGCCTGAGACTGAAAGGTTTTCCCTCATCAATAGTGAGCAACTATTGGGAAAAATAACTATTTTATATATTTTTTAATTTTGATTTTTTTTTTTCTTTTATATCTTGGGAATATATTGTACCTGCCATGAAACAACTTTTTGAACCCCCTGAAACAGGAATAAATCCCCTCTGCAAGCTCTGGTTTCACCGTTTATCAGGCTGTTGGTGCAGGAGCCAAACTGCCATTGGGCTGACTCACATTTTGGCATTTTGTGTTTATATACATGATGACGATGTTTGCAAGCAACAGGGGAAAAACCCTGTGTTCAACAGCACCATGATCCCAGCAAAACCTTTCCCTCCTCAGCTGCATCAGCAGAGCCCGGGGACGTGGCCAGAGCCACGGTCTGGTGTGGGCACTGTTGGCACCGCTCGTTGCCACTCGGCACCCACAATCCTCACGTTGCATCCCACACCTCCAGCTGACCAGGCCCTGCGGCTGCCAGAGCCCCAGATCTGCCCAAGTTTAGGCACACCTGGTGCCCCTCTGCCCTGCCAATCCATCCTGACCCTTTGTGATTCTGCCAGCATCCTCTGTGGCTGTGGAAAGCCAGCTTTGACACTCAGGACGCCTTTCACATGATCTTGATCCCCCCCCAGGTCCAAAATTGTCAATGTAGTTTTCCTGGCACTGGTATTGTCCTTGACACCAGGTTTATTTTTATCTTGCTGCCCCTCTTTATCTCCAATTCCCTTGCCCCAAGTCTTATCTTAGTTTTTTTTGCCTTTTCCCAGGCTTTAAAGACCTGATGGGGACTCTGGCCACACAATGACCTGGCAGTCCTGCCTGTCACTCCCACCTGCCTCTGCTGGCATTCCCTGAACTTTAACCACAACTTCTGGCTGCATCACAGTCCTGTTGGTCACTGGGGAAAGGCAGAAGAGGGTGTCCCTTCAAGCCCTGCCACCACGGTTCCTCTCAGTGTCCTCTGGCTCACGCTGACCCATCACCATCTGCCCCGTCCCGCCTCTGACATCCTGCCTCATCCTTTTCCAGGTGAAGAACCACAGCTGGAGTAAAACAGGGGGACAATGCCATGGGAAAACCCTTTCCTGGGATGCAATAACCCCCCAGCCTGTTCATCTTTGTCATGTGATTGTGCTTGTCAGCACAGCTCTGCCGCAGAGCTCGGGCTGTGCCGGGCCCTGCAGGGTTGGAGGCTGGGCTGGCTCTCCTGGAGCATTTGGCTGAGTCTGTCACCAGTGACTGAAGCAGGAGCAGGTTTCAGCTGCTGAAAATCCCATCCAGATCTGCTGCAAAGTGGAAATCATTTGTTAAATGCTTTCTATTGGGGCAGTAGCACCCCTTCCTCTTGCAGAAGCATTTGGATTTCTGCCCGTGGAGAGGACCAAAGAGAGCATCAGGATCCAACTAGGTGAGCAGATAACAAGACCACAGCCTTGATTTTGGCCAGGGCTGGGGCTGCAGCTGCAGCTGACACGAACTTTCCACCGGTGGCAATGGGTCAGAGGCAGCTGGGGCTCCTTTCCTCCCCTTTCCAGCCCTTGCCTTTGGGAGCTGTGGGTAGGATTAAGGAGAAAAAGCAATGTATGGGTCATGGGAAGAGGGAAAACAGAAGCAGCTCGGCCAGCCGAAGAGGAAACAGGGGACACAGATGTCTGTGGAAAGCTGAAGCCACTTACAGAGGATGCGTTTATTTGTATTTCCTTCCAGGAGAGCTTAATTGCAATGTTTTTAATGACAGGTAGGATGGGAGCTGGGCTTCTGCCTAAGCACTTCTGTGTCCTGCATAAAACTGCTGAATTTAATATTAACAACAATTAATCTGCTACCGGGAAGCAGCCGGCAACATTCCCTGCCCTGGGAGTGTTTGGTTTCCATGCTCAGCCCCACCAACTCCCATCCCCCGGCCAATGGCACTGGAAAGTCACAAGGAAGCAAAGGCCTTCCCTCTGCTGCTGAATTTTGATCCAGAGGTGAAGTGGTTGTGGCAGTAGCCCCCCCTTCCCATTCCCACCAACAGCCTTTGATGGGAATACAGATGGGTTTGGACACCTCTTGTCTTTCCCATTGGTAAGAATTGACCACTTGCCATCATCTCACCCACATTCCATTTTCCCTCCCTCTGCCCCAAAATGCTATTGGGATAATTCCAGATCAGAGCAGTTCATGTGGGTTAGGGTGGATCGCAGGTTTGCTGGGATGCTGATGGGTATCTCCTGCTGTGGATACCATGACTCCCTCTCTTGTTAGCAGCACTAATTGCTCATTGCATGTTTTGCACAGGTACGTGGGTATTTTGGAGTAGCTCGTCTTTGCATCCTGTAATTAAATCACCACTAATGAATGTGTTAGAGAAGGAGCAACTGCTGGGAATTCACTGTGATGTGGCACCAAGTTGTTGCCTGGGCTGCAGTCTGTGAACACCCTGTCATCCCTCCAGCCTCTGCTCTGCTTAGAGGTACCTCCAGGTCCTGGCCCACCACCCAGCATCTCCCCCTTTTTCAGGGGTAACATTTTCTGGACACCTCATGGAGTGAAAATCCTCTTCCCAGGGCTCCAGCCCTGGCTCCTCTGATGCTTGCCCTGAATATGATATAGGTGCATTAAAGCAAGTGGTGATCCCTTAGGGCCAATATCCAGGCCTTTCCCATCTCCCTCAAGCAGACAATCCTTTTGGACATTCGTTTTCCCAAGGCAGACAGCTGTAGAAGCAGGCTTGCTCCCTTCCTTCACCTTGTCTCCTCCAGGAAACACCAATGGCACATGCGAACCCCAGTTCTGGGTCTGAACCCCTTTGCAGCCTGCAAATCCTCCTCCCATGGAAATGTGTGGATGTGGCACTTGGGGACATGGTTTGGTGGTGACAGCTGGATTTGATGACCTTAGATGGCTTCTCCAACCTGTGATTCCATTGGTGTCAACCGAGGGAAGTGCTCCCAAAGCTCCTGCACACTCTTCAGGACACAGCTTTACTTGCCTTCCTGGTTTAGTGTCCTGCACATCTTGTACAAAATGTGTTGATTTTGGGGTTCTCCACAGACATAAACTGACAGCAGTGCACTGGTTTGAGGCGGGAGGTGTTTGTCTGACATGTCCTGAATCCACACACTGCACATGCACACTTAATGTTGAAACTCTTCCAACTCCAAGCCTGAGCCTAGACTCTGTCTTGGGAGGGATGCCAGAAGGCTGGGGTCTGTGCAAGCCAGGGTGATCTTGGGGCTGCATGAAGTTCCACAGACCCAAAAAGGAGGGACTTACATGGAAGGGGTGTTTTGTTTGCTCCAGGAGCTGTAAATGGCAGCTTGAATCAGTCAGTATCTGCTGCCAGCAGGGAGAGTGCCAGCCCCAGCTCTGTGGTGGACTACCAGGTGGGCAGATTTTTGGGACTACCTGGGCAGGGAGTGAGTGGCTTCATAAACATGTCACAGCCACTGGAGTCTTGCAATTGCAGCACAGGGAGTTTTGGGGGGCAGGGTTTGGAAGGAGTTTGGCCCCAGCATTGGATGCATGGGAACAGCAGAAAACCTCCACCGTGCAGCAGGCAGAGCACCAGGGCTCCCCCCGGCTCCCAGCAGACCTTTCCAAAAGTTTTTATTCTTTTTCTGATGATTGGATGTGGGATATTTTCATGCCTGCAAGAGATGCCACTGAGGGGCTGAGGTGGTGGAGGACAACCAAAAGGGACTGTAAACCCCCTGGTGTTTGAGGAACTTTGGGAGACTTTTGGAAAACTTGGTGGGAGCACCCTGGGCACTGGCAGGAGCCGGCCACCGCCAGGCCCTCAGCAGCACCGGCAGCTCTTCCCCAGCAATGTCACTATGATAAATGTTTGTCTTTTCCATCCAAGAGATACAGCAGAGCTGCTGCCAGCACCATGTCTCAGTGGAATTGGGGTTCGCACTGCCAGGAGTGTTACCGGCTCATGATTCACATCTTTACAGCAGCTTTGGAAGGAAAATGTGCTTCTTGCCAGTCAGACCTTCACGCACGTCAAGATGCCACAGTTTTTCCAGACTTTCCAAAGGAAGCCACAGCCAAATGAGACATTCCTTCTCTTCTTCCAGCTTTCTTGGAACAATCTTCTTTGATTAGTGAGTGAGACAGATAGTTGGAAAGAAAGACAGACAGACAGGCTGGGAATAGGGTTATAACGAGTGGTTTGCATGAGCCCTAGTCGCCAGTGGGAGGGTACCTCCATCCACCCCTCGCTGGGTGGCTGCTGAGAGCCCCTGCTGTACACTGTGGTCCCCAACTCCTTTGTCTTCCTCCATGGTCCCCAGTCCCTGCCCTCCTCTATGGTACTCCACTCCTGCCCTCCTCCATGGTCCCCAAATCCCTGCCCTCCTCCATGGTCCCCAACCCCTTTGTCCTCCTCCATGGTCCCCAGGCCTCTATCCTCCATAGTCCCAACCTGGTGTCCTCCCCCATGGAGAAGGACAAACCCCTCACTTTCCTCCATGGTTCCTGACCCCCTGGCCTCTACTGGGATGCCAATTCCCCTGTCCTCCTCCATGCTCCTCCTCTATGCTTCTCCATGCTCCTCAGCATCTCCTGAGGCAGCTGGGATCTGTGTCACCAGGGAGGATCACACTGCCCTGAGGCACAAAGCAAAGGAGTTGAGGTTCGCTTTGCCTGTTGTACCTAAGGCACAAGGAGACAGTTTGGAAAAGCAGCCAAATGAGTCAGGCATGGCTGTCAGGTCCTGTGCAAGGGACAGAGGCCAAAGCTGGGGTGCAGGGAAGGAGATGGGAGCTCCTGCCTTGCTCCCTGCAGCTGCACCCCCTCAGTCCCAGCGCTGTCTCCCACAGCAGGAAGAGAAACAAAACAAGCATCTCCAGGGAGTGTGTTTGAAAAATACCAGGTTTTATTAGACAGGCTGATGTTCAAGCTGACAGTTTTATCCCAATGCACATAATCACGGGCATCTACAGGGCCTGTGTCCCACCTCCCTCCCACAAAGCTCTTGGGCAAGATGTTCACTCCCCAAATTCTGGGGGCATTGAGGTTTCTCAGCAGAATGAATATGTCTCCCTGCTCCCCATTTTTCCACTCCCAAATTCCCAGAGGTCTCCTAAGAAAACTCAGTGGGAACTGGGCTGGGAACTGCAATCCTCTTGGGACTGACAGCCACTTGGATCCTTGGGAGAGGAGGGACCTCAGTGGCAGCACCTTCCTGAGGCAGCACGCAGCTGGGTCAGCGTGTGGCACAGGGAGCAGGGAACAGGCCACCGATGCCATGGTGGAAGGAGAACCCAAATCAACCAGGGGAAAAGGGTTTTGGCTGTCATGGGAGAGCCCCATCCAGCACACAGGCACCAGGGCTTTGCACACTTTGCAGGTGCTGCAGGGCAGAGGAAGGGAGGAGAGGAGGCGATGAGGACTGGAAAATAAAGCAAGATAAAAGGAAACCAGAGAAAGGGTGGAGACAACAATGGGAGTGGCCTGAGAGCAGAGTAACAGTGCCTTCAAGGTCAATACTCCTTGTGGGACAGGGGGCCTTTCCCTGGGTACATCATGGGCTTTAGGGGGATGGAGGAACGAGGAAAGTGATGGTGCAATACAGTGCTTGCAAACAGAAATGTTTAAAGGCCTTTGCTTTCTGTGACAGTGACACACAGTGTGACAGCAGGAACAGTGACAACATCAGCCAGTTTCTGTTGGTGATTCTATTCCATTAGCTCTTTAAAAACAATGCAGACCAGTCCAACAGAGGAGAGCGAACGACAGATGGAGAGGAAAACTGTTGAGCAATGGGATCATGGAAAGAAAGAAGGAATGACAGTGGAGGGGCAGCAGCACTGGGGAAGGTTTGAGACCTCACAGTACTCACAAGCACATCCCTTCTCTCCTGCTGCTCTCTCTGACACTGCTTGCCTTCTCTTGCACCTCTGCTCCCTCTGCACTGCAGGCAAAATCCCTCTTCCTTAACCACGCCCTGCCTTGTGCTTGGACGTAGATTTCAGTCTCAGCTTCATTAGTTTAAATGTCAAGCCCTACCTTGAAGCAGAGCCAGGAACATTCAAATCCCTGCAGTAGCATCCCC